TTCTAGCAATGAGTTATATTTATGTGTAAAAAAGGCAGACATGCGATTGGTAATGAAAGCTGAATACGATCATACCCCTTACTTAATTACGATAAAAATAATATTGAACATGATAGTGTCTGACGAGGGTGACTATTTGGCAATCTATACAGGACATATTTAGAGAAATGCAAAGGAAAGGTTGAATTATAATAAAAAAAAAATCATAATAAAACCACTGGCACATATACCAGAACATTTAATTTGAAAAATAGAATTACTTGAATTGTTTCGTTTAAAAAAATGTTTTGGTACATGTGGCCAGTCATTCCTATGAAATTTTTTATCATAATTCAACCTGTTTTTAGCGTGTATGGTATATTTCCAAATTCAAAATGGCATTTCTCACGAAAATGGATCATTTGTGTGCGCGAGCTACCGCAAGCGCAAAAGATACACAACAGCATTCGGTACGTTTACCTTCTCTTCTATGTAGAAAATTTTGAAAAACAATATCTCCTCCATTTACAAACTTAATACGACTTAATTACGAGGGGAATAATGGTTACGTAATACATAAAAGATTGGTGAGAGAATGTGATACAGATTTGCTGTGATTTTGACCTACCAAAACTTTTTAAATAACTCAAACCCACTCGATCACATATGAGCCTCAAAAGTACGCAACCTTTTGGTAATTAGAAGATTCCCAATGGACTGCTACGAAACTTTTACTGTAAGTTGGGCAACTGAGAATTCTTTACTTTAAAAATTATTGTAAAATACACTACATATTTATAAACTCAGCAAATACGAATTTTATGAACTGCAAATATATTTACTTGGTAAGGCTTTATTATTGTGAGACTGAAAAATGTTATTAAACTGCCTCCGTGGCCGAACGGTTATCATGCCGGACTGCCACGCAGAAGTCCCAGGTTCCGATTCCCGGGCCGGGAGAAATATTTGTATGACCTACATTTGTTTCTTTCGTGAGTTTGGGTGTAAGTTGTGGTTGTCTATATGTGTCCAAAGCACCCGCGACACAGCGTTTCCCTAGTGCGGGGCTATGTTGAGTGTGTGCGTTGTTATTATTATTATTAATAGTGTTCTCGTACAACATTTCACTATTGAATACATACACACAAACAAAACATAATACGTTATTTTAGCACTTAATTATGCTGTTGGATGATGGAAATATATCCATATAATTTTTTTCTGAATATTCTAACTTTTTTTCTGAAAAATATTTTTTAAGTGTCGACATATGTGGACGACAACACACCGAGCGCGGTCCCGACCCGACACGCGCCCGACCCGCACCTAAGCAAAAATATTGGACAATACCATTTGCTACTTAACACCAAGAGTTGCTTTGTTTTTATTTAAGACTAGTCCGAGAGGGCGAGGGTCTGGTGAGCGTAATTATAGGCCTAGGACGAACTTCAATTACTCGAATAATGTTAGTCTTTATTTAAAGTTAGAGCTGTTCCTTTATGGTGAGAAAATGAAACGACTATTATTGGTAAAAATAGTTTCATTTTCTTAACTATTACGATAATCGTTCTGAAATATAAAAACCCAGTACCAAAAATAATACGTATAAAGGAGTCACCACACTTATAAACGCAGAATCAGCTTGAGCCGAACCGTACAGCGTCACTTTTAATCTTATTATTATACAATACATAAAGCTTTTTCTGATCGGCTATGCGATTCTGTGCCGACAAGTATGGTGACCCCCTAAATCACTAAGTTTAAGCAACTGTACCGACTCCGCTGTTTGAGGACTAACCGTATTTGGTTTAACATTGTCAGCATAAGCTGGTGATTCTTTTGATTATGTATACCCATTGTGTATACAATGAGGTGTAATTAATGGTCGTATGCATTTCATCTTTTATTATTGTACATGTTAGTAACATATTTACGCGTATATAAATGTATAATAACAACTTTACGATTTGGTATCAGTCAGTGCTTTAACAGTTTAATAGATTTCATACGACAAGTTCGTAAAACAACACTTCAATGGCCGCTTTATCTGGAACACTTGAATTTGCTATTTGTAGGCTTTGTACAAATATTGATGGCTTTTGAATTGGGACGACTGTAAAACCGAAGCTTCACGAAGACTCGTAGCTGTTATGGAATATGTATGAAAGTTAAGATACTTCGTGTATACGATTTTAAGCTCAATGTAGTTTCACGATGTCCTGCACTTTGCAAACAAAGAGTATGTTGTTTCGGGGACTTCGTGATATTATTTCGGTGTGTGATAGTGGTTGTACTACTTTTGAAACAATTTATGTGTTTCAACAAAATCATGTATGTGCCTACATGGTTTAGGCTGTTTCGTGGGTGTGGAGCGTGAGAATGCAATTTTTAGTGGTACATAATAATTAAGCATAATCCAAATACGAAAGTAAGTTTGTCTGTTGCATTTTCACGCCTAAACCGCTAAATCAATTTTGATGAATTTTGGTATAGAGATAAATGGAACCTAGGAGAAATTTATGTCACAAAGAAAGAAATTACAAAAAAAGAAAACTTTATACCTTAAAAGGGGTGAAATAGGGGATGAAAGTTTGTATGGAGAAAAAAACAAAGGAGATCATGAGGCGAGATTTTAGTAGCAGTAGAGCTCCTTGTGAAAGAATTCGTCCAGGGAAGTACTGCCACCTTACCTATTTCTGCCGCCAAGCAGTAACGTCAGCATTATTGTGTTCCGGTTTTGAAGGGTAAGGGTGCTGGTGAAATTACAGGCACATGGGACTTGTCAACTTATGTCTCAGGGTAACGGGCGCAGTGGCAGTGCCCCTCAGATCTTTGCGATTTAAAGCTCTGAGTGGCACTGTCACTGTTATGGACAGGTGTGTAGCTTGCCATGAGGCGCTTGACGTGTTCGTCCCGTCACTTGATATTACGAATAAAAACCCGTAAAAAACCCGAAACGTCGGTTTGTTTGAAAAAACTAATAATATACGCGATTTATATCCAAAAAAACACAGTGTCATTCCCAATGTGTAACAAACCCGAAAACCTTATACCTTGTTATAGGACAAAGCTCTAAAAAGCAGCAAGTTGTTTTAGTAAAAAGTCAAGAGCACGTCAAGTTTGACATTTATGTTCCAAATCTTAGGGTCCACTGAAAATCACAGCCTTTTCTCGGCTCGGATGACATTAGCTGAGTGGATCCTTTTACTTACGGCACAGCCGCACACATGATCTCTACTTAGTACACAATAGTTTGACTATTTAATATTTTTGCTTTGTGGTTATTCATTACCTATTACAAAGATTTTCTTTTTTTTTCTTCATATTTTTTATTTATTCTATTTTATATTTGTTTTAATTTAGCTTTATCTTTTTTTTTAAATTCTTACTCCGTATGTTTGTGTTGTGGCGTTGGTAATAAATGGTGTCTATTCTATTCTAAATTTTCAACCTGCGTGTTGAAGCTTGCTCAATGGTTAATGTGGATCAACCCTAACAAAAGACTATGTTCTCGAATAAATATGAATAAATTACCAAACATAAGAATATTGTAGTCGTAAAAAATATTCTTTATGAAGGTACCGTGACAGGACCTAGTTTCAAAGTTTTGCACATCCGTCTCGAAATGTTTATTTTTATTAATAGAAATGCTGTGATATGAGCAATCCTGGTATTAAATATGATATAAAAACAATTTTATGAAATATATTTTCTCCAAAAAGTCGTTTTTTGGATCTAATTGAATGTATTTTGATAATGCCGTAAAAACTAAATTTTTTCTTTATTTAGTACTAAACTGGAACTGGAAGCGAAATAGCAAATTTTTTTTTAATCTGACTTCAAAAGTTCGTGAAATTACATCTATTTAAGTTTTATTGAAAAAAGTGCACCAAACCGGATTCGTCCCCTAGTTTGCACCCTTAGAAGTGGAATATTTTCTTCAAATTTAAATGTACTGAAGCGCATCTTTTCAAAAAAAAAAAAAAAAAAAGAATCAACGAAATCGGTTCACATAATATACGGAGTAATCGCGTAACGTACATATAGTCGAAAAAAATACAGTCGAATTGAGAACCGTCTCCTTTTTTATAAAGTCGGTTAAACAGTTTTATACGAAAACATGATATATTACCTTAAGCAGTTAGATACTTTATAAATGGAATAACAAGCAAACTGATTTAGTTTTACATTTATAAACCGCGTAAGTACCTACTTGATCTGGTTTTTCAACTTTTTATGCCAACGTAAATCAAATCGCAATCGTCTACTGACATTGCTACATTTAACCAATTTACTGTGACCCTTAACCGGTAACTAAATTAATGAAAACTGATATCACGCTTGTGCTTGCAAAATTAATGCATAATATGGTTTTATCGGGTTATTGCATTTTTAAATAGACGTTGTGCTTAATGTCATTGTCATTATAATTTAGTTTAGACCATTGAATTGATCCATATTGTATATAATTTTTTTATCACTTCATGTCGTTCGTTATTCAAATTTATTACAGGAAATTTTATATTTTCATATAAATACGTAAAAAAGAGAGGAAAAAGCATCCTAAATTTTACGTCAAAATAACACTATTCGAGAGTGCACCAGTAACACGACAGGGCGCGCAAGCGCAAGAGCTACATAAAGCGCGACATACTGCTATTCTCGCATAGATAATAGCAATATGTTATTGCAAGGCTAATTGACGTCTCTAGCTTAGACTCTGTTACTGTCAAGTAGTCAACAACCCCATTTTACGTCCCACTACGGGTAACGGGTCTACACTAAAGAAAGGGTTTGAGGAAATAGTCCGCCAAGCTAGCCTTATCCTTTCCCAGCGGACTCCATTTTGTTTTCTAAGAGTTATGAAACTTCAGTTTATAACTACTAAACGTTCACAAATGTGCGTAACAAGGTATCAACTTATATTGGACAAGTAAATAATCTAATTGCTAAAACGAGGCATTGATTTACAACCAGTATTAAAAGTATCTAATAAAAAGCTTAGTGACATAAATACGCACTTACGCAGAAATTATTACGCCGGCACTCTCGCATTCCTCAAATCATGTTGGACAGTGCTCCATCTGTAAATAATACAAAGATACATAAATAAAGGCACGTAAAGAAAACTAAGTACTTAGACATAAGGTCCTATTTTGTCTATAAACGTGATAAGATCAGGATGTTTCACCACCGTGATATTCATTTATTTTTTGTGAAATTACTCGACTAGTTTGTTAATTATTAATCACAGATCGAACACTCACAAAAAATTCCTTCGATCCGGCTGGATTCGACCTAACTTCTCAGCAAACTGTGCCACACGCTATGCCAACCAAGCCATGGAACGAACCAGCGGATCTTACAAATTCTTCATGTGCTTGTTGCAGACTTTTGATTTGGTTTTTTAACGACTTTTTTGCCGTAGCGCGGTCAGTGAGAAATCTATTTCTTCATTCGTCCAGGTACTTTTAAAGCCTCCAGTTTGTAAGAAAAACTGACAAATATTCGTTTCTTGCTTTAGGCTATAGCAAAATCAAGATAATTTTTTAATTTTTTTACTATGACACCAAGTTACTGAACGAACAAATTAAAAAATAAAAGCTGTGCGCCCGGTGTTAAGCGACACGTTACGCCTTTCCATAGCAATTGCAGGGCCATTCAAAGCTTTACATCGCAAAGATCTGAGGAACACTGCCACTACGCCTGTCACCCCGAGACATCAAGTTGACAAGTCCCATGTGCCTGTAACTTCACCAGCGCCCGTACCCTTCAAAACCGAAACACAGTAATGCTGCTAAATAATTACTGCTTGGCGACAGAAATAGGTAAGGTGGCAGTATTTCCCTGGACGAACTCTTTCACAAGGAGCTCTACTGCTACATCGAAATAAAATTCTGTACAATCATGTGTTTGTTGATGTTAAATAGGATTTATTGTCACGTCATCGTCGATTTATCATCATTACTATTTCCGTGATTCAAAACTGAACTGGCACCTTAAACATATAAGCCGCATTACACGGCCAATTAATGTTGTGTATTATATATTATACTTAACATTAGTTACAATTATAAATGAGAATGCCAACTCTTGCATACGGTATTAATAAGTCAATTATTACAGTAACGGATTTACATGAATGTATTTACAGCAGGTGGGATATATAGGGTTGCCTATAAAATACTAACAATCTTGCACGACTAGATTACTAATATCGTAAACTTAACTATACATGATTTTAAACATACCAAAAATAAACTTTTATGTTTTTTTTTGTACTGTTTGACACTTTTTAGATCTAGATTTGGTAGTAAAGTTCAAGTTGTTTAGCACAGAGTTATCACCGTTTGTAGATATCGATCTATATAAATATGTTTATTTTTGTTTTTTTTTTTTGCTCGCACTCATAGTTACGCACTTGGGAAATCCTGTATCGCGGGTGCCATGGACACACACATAAACAACCACAAATTACACTCAGACTCACGAGAGAAATAAATGTACCTAGGCCATATATTACTCCCGGCCCGGGAATCGTACCCGGCACCTCTGAGTGACAATCCGACATGGTAACCGTTCGACAGTGGAAGCAAAATCTGACAAATTATTTAAGTCTCATCTCGTCAATTTATAAAGTTACGAAACAAAAGTTGTTTTTTATAATGTTAATATTACAGTCCTTCGAGGGTGTTACTATTTTACAAATAACATGTATGTCGTGTGGGGCGTGTTTATAAAGGACCAATAACATTTGTAAATACCAGCGTGAAATTGTCTTAACATTTTTTTTTAATATCAAGTGACGGGACGAACAAGTCGAGCGTTCAAATCGCAAGATCTGAGGGGCACTGCCACTGCGCCCATCACCTTGAAAGTCAACAAGTCCCATGTACCTGTAATTTCACTCTTCAAAACCGGAAGACAGTAATGCTGGCATTACTGCTTGGCGGCAGAAATAGATAATGCCATCTTATGTACTTCCCTGGATGAACTCTTTCACAAGGAGCTCTACTGCTACCTACAAGGCGAAGTGTTACAGAAATTGACAGCAAAATCACACTACACAAAGGGAATATCGCAATAGGTCTTACAAAATCGAAACAGATGCCATTTACCGCATCCCGATGCATATTTGCGGTTTCCTCCGATTCCGGAGTCAACGTTCTTCGAGAGATCAGATCGCTTCCTCAATAGCACAAAAAGACTTGCCTCACGGCACCTGAGGTCAGCTCCCAACATTATGCCGCGACAATGGCGATTGTGAGAAAGAATCGCCAGTGAAACAATAGCACTAACTCAGCAATTAGTAATTAAATATTTGTTTGCGTGTAACGTATTGTTTCAATCGACTAAACAAATAAACGAGCTGAGAAAGAGTAAACAGTTCCAACCAGATAAAGAAATGTACGTTGAATGGATGTCTGGGTCATTAAAGAGATTTAAAAGCAACGATAATTAGTCTACTGTATAGTCTATTCTAGAACAAGATCAACAAATAAGTATGATGAATTATATAGATAAATTGTTACGAAAATCCTAATATTTGCGCTTATCCCGTACTCAAGATTGTATAACTCTAGTCGTTATTGTTTGCATTATAACTTACCTATTTATTTTTACAAAAGCAGACCAGCCGCCATAATCCTATAAGACAACCTCGGTGGCCCAACGGTTTGCAATGTGGGCACTGAGTGAACTTTTCTAAATTTTATCGGGCATGGGTGGGTATTCTGGGAAGAGCCCCAATGTGACTCTGGTACTCATAGCATAGGGAATTCCCTAGTTTGATACCAGATTTGGTTGTATTTCAAGAAAAAGAAAGTATTTTGTATTATTATAAGTGTGCGCTATGGTTACGCATGCACTAGCGATGCGCGATTGTGAATTATTTCGATATTCGACTCGTTAGTAATTACTCATCTTGTCATTCGAATGACAAATTAGTTATTCGAATGATCTGAATTCGTTGCTAATTAGTATCACTAATCTATACATTTCATGATATGGACATGGTGAATTATCTGGTTAAGTTCCACGACTCGAGTCGAATGATTTTGCTTGGATTCGACTTTGACGAATGATTTGCCCGTTCGAATGATTAGTATTAGTAATATTCAAAGTCGCGCATCGCTAGCACGCATCCAATTGTATGCTTGAAAAAGCCATTATTGTCTTTGTACTCCTGCTAAGCCAGCTGGTACAGTGCTTATTATTAGCAAAAAATGTAGCTCTAATACAGAAAGATACAAGCATCAAAAATTTCATCCCACTGAACGAAACAACATCTCTAAATTTAAATCGTATTGTCAATGTATTTTAACGCCTTAATTAAAAGGGTATTCAACAACGATAGTAAAAATAAAACAAAAAATCCTACTCATAATACCTGCCAGTTCACAATCCATCCTGTTCGATAATATAGTCGTACTTTAAATCAAGTAGTAAAACAACCCTTCTGATGTCAACATTGGACAGCTGAAAGTGCGTGGGCGCATGTGGGTGTGGGAACCGGTCGGTTTAAATGACTCATTGACTCACTCACTCATTGGTACTATTTGATACGTCATTTTCACGTTACTTAGTTCCCAGTTATCAATAGGATGACCGCAGTGGTCTAATGACAAAAAGGAGACAAAACGGACGTTCTGGATCAGAAAAACTGCCATTAGGGAAAGCAGCGCAAAATTGAAAAGGAATATAACCAACGGCATGTGACGCTGTGCTGAAGCTTCTTGAGAAAGAGTTACACCAGGGAAGTACTGCCACCTTACCAGTTTCTGCTGCCAAGCAGTAACGGAAGCATTATTGCGTTCCGGTTTTGAAGGGTAAGCGTGCAGGTGAAATTTGTTGACAAGTGTAATGTGCCTGCACATTAGCCTTGTCAACTTGTCTCAGGGTGACAGGCGCAGTGGCAGTGTCCCTCAGATTTTTACGATTTAATCTTTGAGTAACAATGCGACTGCGTGTCACTGGACAGGCGTGTCGCTTAACACCTGGTGCACGACTTGCGTGTCAAATCGCTATTGGTATCATAAAAAAGCAGTACATCACTTTTCGGAGATTATAACCGATTGCTAACATATAATCCTATCCTAAATCCTATATACTATTCGCTGAAGATATTCTTGTCGTCGCGTATTCAACCTCAATCATCAAATCATCAAAGTTGTTTAATGACCATGGCCATGACAATTGATGATCGAAACCTTATTAGCTATTCATAGCTTTCTAATAGATAATTTAAAAAAATCCAATCCAATCCAAAATCTGTAAAAAAAAAAGTTTGTTTTACTAAAGGGACGTCTTGTATAGAGGTTTCTGAAGTATAGTGGTTCATAATATGACACATATTGCATAAGGATATAATAACGATGTATCGATCCAGCCGATCGTAACGGGAAGTGCTCGAATATACTCGTAATGGAAAATTAATCATATTAGATTTGCAACGTACAAGTCGGTTTCGAGTAAGATGGATTATGAATGAAAGAGGTTTATAAGGTTAATAAATCTTGCGAAATGTAGCTGCAAAATACTTGTCGTATTAGTAACTTGAAGCCATTTAATTAGCGTAATAACTTCAAGTACGTAGGTAGTACGATGTTGTTCTCACTTAGTCAACAAGTTTATGTGCCCAGGAATTGTCTTACAAAGATGACTCAAGTTTTTTTGAATACACGTATCGTTCCCACGAGGTTTTTGATTTCTGTCTACATGCACATAACTCATGTGACAAAGTATGCCGATTCGCTCGAGTCAACATGATGTGTACGGCGAATAAATCAACGTTGCGTAATCGATATTTAAAATCGAAACGACATCGATTTTATACAACTGTCGTGTAACCATTCAAGCTCGTTTCAGACTGCGTTCTATCCGTGCTCATACAGTTCTCTGTTGGAGAAAAAATTGTGAATAGCATTAAGAAAGAAAAATACGACAATAAATTACTACTGACCTGTGTGTAAGTCTCCGTATATTCCAAAAATATTCTGTATTTATTGTAATAAAGATAATCTCTAACAATGGGAGATGTTCCTTTCTGTGGTGTGAGAAAAACAGAAAAACATCTAATTACAAA